TTGTCTTCTCACCTTCATGCTGTTCTTCATCTATGCAATCATAGGCATGCAGGTAAGTTCTTACTGGCTACAGAAGGGGCTGTTTTCAACTCAAGATGTACTCCCACTGTTCAGATTAAGAGGCAGATTTGACTCTCTGTATTCTAAACTGTTGATTCTTGTGAATATAATGATCCAGTAGGACTTCTCTGAGGTCGTACGTTGTTTAAGTGTGCAGTTTTCCTATGGAGCCAGTGGGAGGGCCATAGTTCAGTGAAATAGGAAAGCACTCAAAGCAACAAAATGTGGCATCATCAGGACTTAGATGTGATTATCAGTGGTTTGTTTTTCTTGTGTGTTGGTGAACACAGATATGACTGTATGTTTGGCTTAAAACAACTTGGAGGCAACATTGAGCCATAGTTACTCCCGAATCAGTTTAGCTGGGTTTGGCTATTTCAAAAGAAGAAAGGAATGCATGTGAGATAACTTTAAAAGTCAACATTTGTAAGGCCTGTGCATTGCTGAGCAGACGCTGGGACGACTTTTTGACACAAGAATGTTTAAGCATATGACTGTATCTCCCTGGGTGTTTGTCGGGGGATCTGCCACTCTCTCTTTGCAGGTATTCGGTAATATAAACACCCTTGACGACGATAGCCAGATCAATCGACACAACAACTTCGGCAACTTCTTAATGGGTCTGCTTCTACTCTTCAGGTAGAACTGCTCGGATGTCATCCATCACAGGGTTTGCTTTTGTGTGGAATGGTTGAACTAGGTTCTCTTTGTTGCCATGGTGTTTGCTTTGGTTGAGAATAACAATGTCATTACTCTTGTGTGTCTCAAAGACAATTTGGGTATCTGTGATGAAGTTGTACAAGGATGTTTAAGTCGCACAGGCCAATTTCTTAAAGTTTATTTGATTTTGAAGTCGCAAACTGAAATCATTTTTCTCATCTAGATTTTGCATCACCATCTTTATCTCCTGTCAATTATTACTTCACTCTCATTTGTAAAGAATTTCTCAGTAACCATGGCAATGAGTGAGTCTTTATCACCCTTCCATCAAAAATTCATTTTTCATCCTCAATGCATTTCATTCATTTCATTTTATCTTCTTTATTTGCATCATACTTCTCCCTCCTTCCCCTGCTTGCATCATCCTCCTGCTGCATGTTCGCAGATTTTTGGAACCGTCAACATAGATGATGAAACTGCTATAACGAGACACAACAACTTTTCAAATTTCTTCCTCGCAATTATTATGTTGTTCAGGTAAAACAAGAGCATTTCTGAATTCAGTGTCAGTCTCTGTCCAAGCAAGTCGGTGTTCCTGAGTAACTCATTCTGACACTAGTTGAGTCAATCGGATGACTCAAATTAGATGAAAATCAGATGATTCAAACTCAAATGAAGTTTTTGTGATGTATGTTGTGAGGTTGTGTCAAATTATGTAATCCAAGAGTAATTGTACCCAACACAAGGCCAGATTGTAGCTGGGACTTGGTTGGGTATCATCTGTCAGTGACCTCAAACTAGAAAAATCTTATCCGATAAATTTCCCTCATTCAGAAAAGAAAGGTCACTTGAAAGCGGTCCTTGTGTACAATTGTATCGTTGCTACAGTAATCATTGGCAGTATCTGTCACTCATCCTATATCTTTTATCAGCATGTAGTGCTAGATTCAATGTTTACATAATTCCAATTACTTTGCTTGTGAGATTGATTTTTCTGATGACGTATAATTGAAGTTTGGTAGCGAGCTTCGAAATTGTAGTAAACCTTACAATAACTACTTCAAGCTTTTGTAATAGTATTTGATCTAATTTTTTTTTTATCAAACAGACCCGTCTAATGGTGCATGCATCCATCCTTTGTTCTTGTTCTTTTTTTTTCAGTAGTATTTTCTATATCGATGAGACAATTCTGAGTCACACTCACCTGTTTTCCCTTCCTCTATCATGACATTTCTTTGCTATGGCTGTCTTCACCCTTTGACATCACCTTATCACTAATCATTTCCATATTTTCCAGTTTCATCCAATTGGTGTATTTATATTGTTAGTTATTATTGTTATGTAGTTTACTTGTTACCGTAATTAATTGGGGAAAGATTTAAACATAAGGAGCTAGGCAAGAATGAAATGAGGGTTGGGGGCTTTTTATCGTCAGTTATAAGTCAGTTCCTGATCCACAAGCAAATTACTCACCAATCACAAGTTGGTGCATATTAAGATTTTATTGAATTTTGAAAGTGGTATCGGATTGTCATCCTATAATTGGTAACCAGACTTTCTTGTGATGGGCCCAGCTACAGCACTGTAGGGATAGTAGTGTAGTCCATCACAAGTCCAGCGACAAAACCAGTCGCAAGACCACTCACAAGTAATGGGGTGGACAGTAACAAAGGAATGCTTTGGACACTAGTCAGTTGAATAACTTCTGGTTTGGCTCTAGTCTGAGTTGGCTCATGACTTGCGATGGACCTGACCACTGCTCTAGATCATTTTTTTCTTTATATTTAGTTGTCCTAGGAAATGATCATCTGGCCAACAGCCCTGTGCTGTCATTCGGGATTGAAGGTTGACCAGACTGTATAAAGTGGCATCCGAAAGCCATTGCAATAAATCCAAAATAATCTGCCTATTTTTCCAGATGTGCTACGGGTGAAAGTTGGCAGAGTATCATGCTAGCATGCCAAGCAGGAAGTGAATGTCACCCTAATAGTATTCGACCAAATGCCACTGATGAAGAGAAGTATGGATGTGGATCGTCGCTCTCCGTTGCCTACTTTGTTTCCTTTATATTCTTCTCTTCCTTCCTTGTAAGTAGTTGAACAGATTTTAAAATGAGCTTTAAGGGGTGAGGATAGGAAAAGAAATGGTTCCCAGAGTCTTTAAGTGTCTTAGCAGTGATGAGATCTTTGGTCTCCATGCTAAATTGAAATCTGACAATCAATATTTAGGCTGTGTTCATAATGGGCTTCCAGAGTTATGGCTAGGTCTATTGTCTGCCTATTATTTTCTGTATTTCCAATGGAGTGAAGACCTAGACCTAGCTCTAGACAACAGATTTGGATGCGGCCTTGGAAGCTGTGGAATACTGGTGCCTAACAGCAGTGGTGCCACATATCCGCATCAGATCATGTGGGTAATTTTCAGAGAGATCTAGGTACAAGGAATTTTGTAGACTGGCTAGCTATCCTGATTGGATTGAAGATGGAAAATATCATTGTACTACACACCATTGTTGCCATCATCTTGAATGGAAGAGTGGGCGGGGCTTACAAAAGGAAAGATTTAAATCAGCTTGACCCCATGCTAGAGGTCATTACTGGAGAAAATAACAGTGACGCAGTGATTGGATTCGACCTAATTTGTACTGGCACTTACAATCACACCAGGGCTGTGACAGAAACTGCCACTATCTTAGAACCCACACTGTGCTTGAGAAGTACTCCAAAGATTATTGTACGTGTTTTGAGAAGGAAGATGAGTTCACTTGTTACAGGGAGTACATGAAACAGGACAAAAATTAACAGTGATAAACTGTAGACTATAAGAAGAACATGTGCTGATATTAACGTTGCCAAATGTTTGTCCCAAACTGAAGAGATTTCCGTCAGCCATATCAAATTTGTGCTTATGCTTTCTCTGTGCTTGTTTGTAGATGCTGAACCTGTTTGTAGCAGTCATCATGGACAACTTTGATTACTTGACTCGAGATGCTTCCATCTTGGGTGCACATCATCTGGATGAGTATGTGCGTGTCTGGGGAGAGTTGGAACCAGTAGGAACGTAAGTGCTAGCTGCTTAGTAATTACAAATCATTTGGTGAATATGGAAAGGCAGTATTATGGTCAAGACCATCATAAAACCAGACTCCAGACCAGTCACAAGTAACTGTTAGGCTGAACAGTGACAAAGTAATGCTTTTGTTTCAGTCCAACTGAATAGTTTGTGAGTTTAATTCAGGCCGGAGGTCTTGTGAGGGTCTTGTGAGGTCTTGTGAAGATCATAAGATTGGGAAAGGCAAGTAACAAATCTTGACATTAGAAGTCATCAACAACTTAAAAAATGACAGACACAGACTTAGAGAGCTCATTTGGAATGTTTGTTTGGAAGGTCAGCGGTCACTTTTCTTTGTTCAACTGAAAATTGTAATTTCAGCCTTCCAGTAAGACAGAGCTTGAATCAAAGTTTACAGCAGAAGCTTGGACTAAATTTTCTTTCATTCCATCCAAAAGTTCCCTAAATTGAAACAATAGTCTGTTATCTTTCAACAAAATCTTTTGAATGCCAATAAGCATCATACTTTGGAATGTTTCTTATTTTAGCGGTCGTCTGCATTACAAGGAAATGTATGAGATGCTTCGGACAATGGAACCACCTGTTGGATTTGGCCGTAATTGCCCCTACAGAATTGCCTACAAGGTAACCGTCTTTTCAACTTCATCCGTCTTCATCCTTCTGTAACTAGACACAACGTGATTTGCACCTACCAGGCCAGCCATGTTTTGCCCCCATATTTCCACAGAAGTTCGTTTTGTTTAAAGACAGAATAAAACAAAGCTTCATGAGATATTCTATTGCAGTCTGTAAAAAAAAAATCAGAGAATTCAAAGTGAGCAGGTGGGTAGTTGAGTTGCTGGGAACAGTCATTTGCACAATGACGTTACCTAAAACAGAGACTATTATGAGAAAATATTGATTTTAAAAGGTGTATTTTTTGTGCATTGAATTACAAAATAATCTCCTTACCATAATTAAATATTTGATGCGTTCTTCTCTAGAATTCTAGTTTATTTTCAACACATTCCTACAGCGAGGTCTCTGAAAATTAAATAAAACCAATAAATATCAAATTGTGATCTCATTTGTCTTCAGCGTCTGATACGGATGAACATGCCTGTGGATGAGGACAAAACAGTGCATTTTACCACCACTCTCATGGCCCTAATACGCACAGCTCTAGACATCAAAATTGGAAAAGGTAAGTTGATGTCCTGCTTTGACCTTGTCAAATTTGTAGTCGACCCCCTCCCCCCCAAAAAAGGATGAACTAAGTTTGTGGACTTTGCTCATGTTTTCTGGGATTTGTTTGCAGTTGCTGACAGAGATCGACATGACAGGGAGCTACGGGAGGCTATTGGGAATTTCTGGCCACATCTGAATGCCGATAAGCTGAATTTGCTGGTGCCTCCAGATTCTGGTAAGCACAAAAATGGACCCAAACTCCAAGCCCAAGTTTTTATGCTTTCATTCAGTTATAGCCAATGAAAGTCATCACTACTTAAAAACATTTCATTTCCTATTTCGAAGACAATGTTCAGATTCATTGTTGGATTGGGGTTAAGTATTTCCCAATTTGAAATGTAAAGTCACCTCCAGGATTGTGTAATGGTGGTTAACTGTTTTGATGTGAAGATTGGAAGTACGACAAGTAGGAAACAATAAGTCTGTTTTGGAAACTTGTTAAGTATATACATGTATCTGTTAAAGTATTGTTTCTGTCATCTTCTATAAGTAAAAAAAACCCAAAGGTGTCTCAACTCATCCGTAAGTTATCAAATAATAATCAGCAACCCTGGAAAGGCATTCCTTTCATTGTTTTTCCTGACAGAGCTAATCGGAGAGAAACTGACTGTTGGTAAGATTTACGCCGCTCTTCTTATCTACGAGACTTGGAGAGAATACAAGGCCAAGCTACAGAGAGATGGTCATGCAAGAACGGTAAGATAACACTAGAAACCAGACAGCTAGGAAATAGTTGCTCTTACTAAGAGAAGTAATACTCAAACAATTTAGGGCCAACATTAACAAAGGAATTACTCTCTTTTGTATGTTCCCCCTTCCCATAAAAATCCTTTTTCTGTTTAGCTTTGTCCTGCATTTTGTTGTTCGTCCTTCAGAAATACCACCACACAAATTCTTGAATATTTGCCCATTTATCTTAATCTCACCACATTTGATTCAGGATATCAATTCTCCAGGTGTTTATTTCAGAGAAAAAAATATGTTTTATTGCGTGTAAAGTCCATTTTCGCACCTTTGTTTATAACTCAGAAGTCAAACTTTTTACCTTCAAAGTCAAATCTCAGCTTTTTCACATTTTCCATCATCACCAATTGTTGCTTTGTCATGTGATGGTGACTTATGTCTCTTGTCAACTTCCCTTTACAAAATGTGACCCACCATTCCCAAACCAGGCTGAAGGCTTCTTAGCTACAGTATTCTGCTTGAGTAGAAGCACCCCCTCATCGATTGAAAAGAGTCATGTTGGCGGGATGTGTCCATTTTGTTGGTAGTGACGTGAGTCTAAAGTGTGCGAAGTTCAGTTCCCACCAAAGGAGCCTCCGTTGCTGGGAAAATTGTGCCCTCTCTTGGTCCGACCTGGGGCTCATACACATGGATAATGTAAATTCCACAACTCTCACTTCCTATAACTACCTAAACCCTCGGCAGACCAACTTTTTTTTTTTGTGGATCGCTTTGAAGTATGAAAATGAACAGCAAGGAAGAGGAGTTGTCAAACATTCAAATGACTGGTACCCACCACAGCAGCCTGGTTTTGGAGTGGTGAATCTCAAATCTTCTCCCCAATCCCTGATGCTAGACCTTTGTGCTTTCTATTTTGTTCTGCCCAAAATGAAAAATTCCGACAAAGTGTCTGATATATTTGCCTTTGGACCATCATTTAGCTTGTTCGCGCTTGTATGCACTTCTATAAACTTGTAAAATAAAACTCAGTATTTTGCTTTTTCTTACTTAACATATACAGCTGATGGAAGTCATCGTAAATATATTTCTGACCATACAAGTTTGGCACAAATTTTGTCCAACACTGTCTACGGTTTTTATCCCTCCACATTTAACCAATCCAGACCTCAAAACTACATTGCTTTACGATTGCAGTGATTTAATAAACAAAATTTAACAAAGCCCACTCATGTATATTAGAATTCCATTTGTGTTTTTAACCAAATATTCCCTACTTCTTCTGTGCCTTTCGTGGTCTTTACAAGACGGTGTCTGAAAGTTAATTGTTTACACTGATTTGGTCAATTGATTTTTTCCCTGAATTTCACCTTTTATTTAATTCTTTTCTGTTTTGGGGAGGCTTTCAAATTTATGCATATTGAATTGACAGCAGAGTTCTGCTGAAGCCTTGGTCGTAAAATTCTCAAGACTTCAATGCAGCATCGACAAAACATCTCCAACAAATAGCGATGTTTTAATTTGTAAACCTGCATTTTACAAACCGACACTTTACCACAGAAACACGAAACAGGTTTGCAGTGCCCTAACCTACTGAAGTCAATCTTGCATTTAACCCAAGTACATCCTGACCGTCTCAACTTAATTCTGTTCAGAATATACCTCAGATATTTGTTTTGTTCCCAGGAAAACTTAAATTTCTACTGAGGCCCATTCATCCACACCCTACCTGGATTTTGTGAAGTTTCGCTAAGAACAAGTTTGAAGTCACAAATCCCGCTGTTTTATGTTGCAGTGTCACGGCTATTTGCTTTTTTTATTTGTACTTGTAGAAAGTTGTTCAACAAAGCAGCAGGTTTCATTTGCAGAAAGCAACTCACTTTTATTACTTTTTTCAAGCAAATTTGAAGATTCAATCGATAAAGCTTTATTAGGTATTTTCAAGTATTACAAAGTTTATCAGGATGTTCATTCATTGATTTTATTCCTTTAAATTCGCTTGTGAAACTTAAATGGCTGTAGAGCCAGCATTTTCGCTATGCTTAGTTTTTGTTTTCTTTTGTTTTGTTTGTTGAGGATTTTTTGTTTGTTTTTGGTTATGTCTTGGCATTGTTTTGTTGCTCATATTCATTAGAACATTTGCTTTTGTTTTCAACTCACACTCAGCTTGCAGTTTCTTGCATTTAATTTGCATGAATTTGCATGTGCTTACCCTATTCCTTTCCTTCCTACCCCTCGCTGCTTAGGAGCTCGCAATATTCCAGAAGCACTACCGAGCCAACCCACACATGGACATCAACAGTGTTTATTACAGAAAACTCTTCACAAACAGATTCAGAAATGTAAAGTGGAGTTATCTTCACTAAATTCTCATCTGACATGGTTTAAGTTTGCTGTGAACTATAACCCAACTTGAGTTGTTCAAAATATAGCCACCGGGGTCATCTACCAGATATGAGTCTTAATAATTCACTGTTTGAATTTGTATTTTGGGCACTGTCACTAAAATTAACCACTTTGTAGGCTTTTGAAAAATCAATTTTTTTGTGACAACCACTTCTGGTATCATCTCCCATGTTCTTACAAATTTAATACCTGTCTTGCTTTGTATTAAAGCCAGACAAAAATGAGTTAGATGCAGCATTGTATGTCATTTAATCCAAATCAAAGAAAATAAACTGATACATTTTTTGGCCTCAAAGCATAAATGTAAGAATACAAGTATTTAGATTTTACTAGCATAAGAGAAATGTCAAGACAATACATACAGCGATGGATCATTTATATCTACTCAATGCAAGGGCATTTGTGAATAATTTCATATATTATTGGATTTCATCAGCCTGTTATCAACAATTAACTTATTTACTGTCTTCATGCCCATTTGAGAATGGTGACCAATTGAAGAGTATTGCTTTATCTGGCTGCTGGCAATATTTTTCCAGTGATCTTGCTAGGCCCCGTTGCATACTGCTTCTGTTTTCCTGTCTGCTTGTAGCAGCTGTTCTAATTTCCTCATCCTGGTGCTCTGCCTCCCGTGTTGCCATGACGACGTTCCTGTTTGAACAGGTTGCATTTGATGAGACCGGAGAAACTGCCTAGGTCAGGCAAGAGATATGCTCGATTGGTGCACTGGCTTGCGCATACTATCTGATACTGTGGGTTGCGGTATGGTACATGTAGAGTTTGGTGGTAGCATAGTGGAGATAACTTTGGACTTATCTGTTTAGCTTTGAAGTCTACATTTTGTCTGACAGTTTCCAAGCATGCTGTAGTGAGAATTTCTTTTCAGCTTACCTTCATGGGGTCGCTGACTCTGAAGAAAACATTCTATTAGAAGTTGTCCGTGGTTTCTCATGGATGAGATCGGGTTACGTCCTTCAAGTGCCTCAGTAATGAGTTGCATTGTATGTTTGCCTGTATGCATAATCTCGATGGTTTGAAGCTGCAGAATTCTAACAATATGCCTTCTAGTTCTACATGGATTGCTCTTTTTTTTTCTTCCTGTGATATATCAAAGTGACTTATTAACTGAATTTTATCCACCTTCAGTTTTACAGAGTCCAACAGCTGGCAGCCATCTCTGGCTTTTTAATATAGAAACATCCAAAGCTCTTGTTGAGCAGATTTAATCAACATGGTTTAACGTTGGAAATTTAACCACTTTGAAATTTGTTCTCTCTGTTTTGTCATTGAAAAAATGACAGCTTCGTTACCAGAAACGAATGGAGTACCTACGAAGAATGCGAGCCCAAGGCAACGTGGCTACATTACAGATTCCTACAGTGGACGGTATTCATCACAGACAGACCGTACGCGAGGTATATGTCTAGCGAAAGCTTCATGCTTAAAGTCGCTCATTGACATGAAATGTTTCGCTCGGTAGAATGTAACCTCTCTCGTAGCCTTGCTCTTTCTTGATGATATGTTCTCAGATTTGTAGAGGGTATACTAGGAACAACCGGTCATTCTGTCATGTACTAACGTTCTTTTTCATTAAAATAAAATCTTCCCGACTTACTAACAGCTGTCTAATTGCAAAGTTCATATATGCAAGGCTTTGTTCAGGATGTAATGTCTTGGATGTCAAAATTGTGTACTTGACAAATGGTCAAATGTTTAAGTCTTAGCTGTGTTTTCTTTGGTGGTGTAGTAAATTAAAATACCTTTCGCTTTTGAGCAAATAATTTGTTACGGCACGGCTCAGGCTGTCCGTTGCATCTTTATGAAGCAGTCTCTTGAAATATAATTTTTATTATATATGACTCTACACAGTGGGTTTTGAAGTTATTTTCAAATGTTTATTTATTTATCAACTTTGTCAGGTGGCACAAAGCACTGTTGTCATTGGATGATAGTTTCCAACACTTTTGAATAGGCATATTAGCGCAAAGGGCTGTTTACGATTGGTTGATTCAGTCATTAAGCATAGATTGTTCCTTAAACCCATCCAGTTTTTAAAAAATCTAATGCCGCAATTTCTGGAAGCATCGTCGCTTGGTCGGCACTTCTTTATTTACTAAAGAACTTTCAGATGGAACAACAACTTGCACTGCTGTAGCCGGTAAACATTTAATAGTTACAAAGCCTCCAAAGCTAAATGGCAAACAGGTTTTCATAGTTGTGATTATAAGGATGTTGACAAGGAAAGTTTTCATTCCGGTTCTTCAGGGATTTCGAATGTATTTCAATAGATTTCGTCAGGCCTCTGTGGCAGAAGGCAAATCTTTCTCATATTCTATTTCTCTCCTAATCATAGGTGGTGGTTGGCCTCATCATCTCTCATGATTCTCCTCATTTTCTCACTTCTTTTCACTCACAGGAGAATAAACACAAAAGAGTAATTCATCCATTCACTTCACTGCTGCTTCGAGCAACTGTTAACCATAATCTTAACTTGAATCACAAATTTTGAACAATTTAGCTTAGTTTTGTAGCTCTGCAAAAGCGTAAGATATTTGTCTCATTAAAATCATGGATATCAGTTAAGAACACACAGTTGAAAGAGCATTCAT